TGAACGCATTCATATGGACATTTTTCGAAGAATTTGCGTTCATCCACTGATGCTTCGGACATGGAGGGACAGGAGGATTATGATTTTGTCATCGGACAATCCTCTAAAAGACACACTTAGGTGGCAGGGGAGCAAAGTGTTTGCTCTTCATTAAGCTAAGTTGAAAGGTGCAGATTGAGTGGATAGCCCTGTATACGGACATGACATGTTCAGGGAGGTTGGAATCCGCAAAACAATGGACAGCGCTTTGATGCAGACGCAATACTGATCACCTGAACCACGAGACCCCGGAAAAAGACTATAATGCGTCAGCTCTTCAACTTAGTTACCCGCCCAATCGATTATATTACTCTGTTTCTCTATCTCCTCCTCCTCCTCCTTCAACGAAAGTACAGGTTGCAATATCTCCTGTTTTCCTCTGCGGTAATCCCACTCACTTTTAGTCCGCTTTATTTTTCTGGCGATTATTTACTAGCCTTAGTAAGCATGATAACCAGAATGAACCTGTAGCAGCAGTATGTAAGTCCGTACAGCTCGATGGATAGAGTCGAGAGTGCCAAAATTAACGCAAACGCTGCTGAGCTTAGGACCCTAAGCATGTACTTACCCATAATAGTTAAACACAGACCCACACTCCTTATTGAGACCAAGGGCATATGAGCCGAAGCTTTGGCTTAATCAGCGTTACCTCTGACAAATGGTGGCGCCAGTGCTGGCACTAGTACTACTACAGTTCTTGTTGACATTGAGAGGGTATGAGGCCAGTGCTGAATTTAATCAGCGCGACTCCTGACTTACAAAACAGTCAGTAATAATACCAGAAAATACTAGCACTCACCTACACTCCAGTTAGTATTAGAAATAGCAGTAGTGAAAATAACAGTACCAGTCGTGACTTCCTAGAGTCAGGCTAGACACCCACTGTGGCTGAGTGAGGATAGACAGTGCAGTAGTAACCGCGCACAGTCTATTGTCCCTAAATACTAAGTTAGGCGGTGTTACTGGCTGCATCTGGAGAAAGCGGCTTATGCCTGATCACAGCTCGGTCATCTCGACTTTATCTTTCCATCGGTTGAAGCGGATGAGGTTTTTCAGCGGGGTAGATGACAGCGCGTCTACTTTCACTATACCTGACCTCAGTCACCTGCTCTCAGGCAAATGGTGAGGATTATCGCTTGCGATGGTCGAATTAACGCATAGTATTAGAAGTATGAATAGCAGTAGTAGCAGTACCAGCCTTGATTTCTATGTTCTTGGCTTCACGTCTAGTGAATGTGGCTGAGTGTAAATAGTGCGGTTGTACCAGCGAAAAAGACTACTGCCACTTATGACTAAATAGGCGGTGTTCTCGCCTTGCAATGGTGAAAGCGGGCAACGTCGGGTCCCTTTTACACCCCTTGACCCCGAGCGAAAGTGAGGAGTGCGGTTGGCGCTAACTACGTCCGTCACAACTATAATATATCCCCTGAAGCTGCCACTTTCTGCACCAGCTTGTTGGTGCAGTTAGTGGACTTCATCGAAATCGATGGTCGAACAGGTACACCTAGTTTGGTGGAC